CCCCTGCTTCCTTGCTGTGGAGCCGAGAGGGATGGGGTGGCTGGCAGGCCGCCCCCTCCCCAGCAAGGGGTGGGGCGGTGTCATGGGGGATGGCTGACAACAATGGGGATAATTAGCTCCTGCTCCCAGTATGTCAAGAATGCCTCCCCCGCATGCCCAGCGCTGCCTGCCGCCCTCCACCCCACCCCCTGGCACACGACCCCCCCCCCAGCTTTGAGGGGGACCCAGCCCTCTGCAGAGGTAGAGCTGGCCTGTGGTGAGGGGTGGGGGGGGCGCACCGTGGGGCGCTCTCCCTGGCACTCACGGCTGGGGGGTGCTGTCCCCTGGCGGGCCGGGCGTGGGGCAGCATCGTGCTGTGGGGAGCAGAGGTTCCCCTGCAGTCGTTGCCAGCCACTCCTCTTCAATGATTATGCTGTGTTATGTGCAGCCATTCCCCAGCTGCCCTGCCCCAGAAGTGGCTGCATCTCAGCGCCGAGCGAGCAGTCCTTGTGTGACGTTATGTGCGGCTGTTCCCCAACTCCTCCCCCCCCCACCCCAGCATTCCCTCACCCCTGTTTTTCTGCACCCTGCTCTTCCCTGGAGCAGTCTCTGCTCATCAACTGTCTCTGCTCAGCAGCTGGCTTGGGGGGGAGAGTTGTGGCAGCTGGCGGGGTGTGAACGGGGAGGGGGCGCGGTGACCCGCTTCCCGCCTGACTCATTCCAGCTAGAGAGTGGGCGAGGGAACACGAGGCAAAGCCAGGCATCCCGGAGCAGGGCTCCAGCCCTGCAGCACTCCCCTCCCAGGGCCAGGGAGAGAACCCAGGAGTCCTGACTCCCAGCCCCCCCACACCCACTAGGCCCCACTCCCCTCTTGAAGTTGGGGAGAGAACCCAGGAGTCCTGGCTCCCTACACTCCCACCCCCAACCCCCCAGCCCTGCTGATGGTTCCAGGCAGGGTTGCCTGGGGTGCGAGGGGTCTGATGGCTAATGGGGTGGGGCCAGATGCGGGCAGGTGCCAGATCATGGGAATTGCCAGTGCGGACAGATTGGGGGTGGGTGGCTGTCGCACTGGGGTGCAGCCACGGGGCTGGGGGTCACAGAAAGAGGCAGCAGAGTGGGGGTCTGGGGGTGTCACAGCTGCTATGGGAGGGTCGCAGGCACGGGCAGTTGAGCACCAGATTGGAGGGCCCCTGAGGGGTTGGGGGGTCAGAGAGGGAGGCTAGATTGGGGGGAATCTGTGGGGTGGGGGGGCTGTAAGGTCAGGGGGCAGCGAGGGGGGGAGGGCAGGGCGATTCCCCTGGGAAGTTGCGAGTGCCCTGAGTGCTGTGGGGGGGCGGCATGGGTAGGCTGACCCCTCTCTGCCCCCCAGAACCCTGACTACCATGGCTTCGACGCGGACCCCGTGGTGGACGTATGGAACATGCGTCTGGCCTTCTTCTTCGGGATCTCCCTCTGCATTGTGGTGGGGTCCACCTTCGTGCACTACCTGCCGGACCACGGGTGAGTGGGGGGCGCAGGGCAGGACCCCGGGGCCCCACAGCGCCTGCCCCGAGAACAGGGGTGCCTCAGAACCAGACCCCATGTGGAAGAGCAGCGGGAGAGGGGGGCTAGTGGTTAGAGCAGGGCGGGGGCTGGGAGCCAGGACTCCTGGGTTCTCTCCCTGGCTCTGGGAGGGGAGCAGGGTCTGGTAGGTTAGAGTGGTGGGATCTGGGAGCCAGGACTCCTGGGTTCTCTGAGGGGCAGGGCTCATTACACGGCTGGGCCACAGGAGCTCTCAGCTTTGCGAGCAGACAGGAGCAGCAGCAACGTAAGTTGCTTTTCTTCCGCTGGCTCCAAGTGCGTCAGCAGCCCCCCCTTCCCCCCACACATCAGAGCGTCTGGCCCCCCTCCGCCCCTTGCCTGCAGCTCCGACGTGGGGCTATCTATATCACAGGGCTAAATATACCACCTTGGCTGGCAGGCAGGCAGGCAAGAGCTGACCGGCTCCCCTGCACCCCCACACCCCATTGTGGAGCTAGGGGGCACTGTGCTGCGGGGCGGGGGGCTGGGTTGGGGGTGCTCTCCCCTGGCAGTCAGGGCAGGCGCTATGGGGTGCAGGGGGCTCGCCAGGGGCTGTTAGCCATGAAGCCTTGTATTCTGGCCGAATCCCTGTGGGTCTAGTGGTTGGAGCGGTGGGGGCTGGGAGCCAGGACTCCTGGGTTCTCTTCCTGGCTCTGGGAGGGGAGTGGGGTCTGCTGGTTAGAGCGGGGGGGGGCTGGGAGCCAGGACTGACTCCTCCTCCATCTCCCGGCTGTGCTGATGCCCCATGTCCTCACTGGGGGAGGGGTGGTCCTGTATCTGGAGAGTGGGGGCCAAGAAATCAGCGCCACAAATGTCCCAAGCCCCACAGCCCCCTCAGCTAGGCTGGGAGGAGCCTGGGCTGGGCCCCTGGCTGAGACCACCGCCCGTGGGCTTAGTGAGCGGCTGCCCGGGCTGGGAACTGCCTGTCTCACGTCAGCTGATTCCTCATGGGTGAGTTCTCGCCCGCTCTGTCCAGCTCCCGGCGCGGAGAGCGATATGCAGCCCAGCTCTGCTAGGGCCACCGGTGCCAACCCTCAGCTCCCTCCTAGCCCATCCCTGGGTCCCCCAGCCCTGCTGGTGCCCCTCACTCCCGACCCACAGCCCCCAGCTAGCCCAGCCCTGGGACCCCCACCAGCCCTGCCGTGCCCCTCACTCGCGACCTGCAGCCCCCTGCTAGCCCACCCCCCTTAGTTTCTGTATCTCCGTTCTCGGTGCTGAAGCTGACTTTACGCGCCCCCCTCCCCCCGGCCCTGCTGGGTGTGTGCTCCCGCCCCCATGGATGGCGGAACGTGGCTGCCCCCACACACACTTGGTCGGGGGGCTGCCGGACAGTTGTGTGCTGGGGCTGCTCCCACCAGCCACCCCGCGGGCTGCCAGGTTCTTTCAGGCGCCGATCCAGTGCCTTGGCCCTGCCCTCACCTCTGCCCGCCGCCAGCTGGGCTCCTGGGGCCTTGGCATGGGAGCTGCATGGGGGTGGGGAATGGGACAGGGGGTGCTGGACCCCCAGTTCTCACCCCCTCTCTCCCCAGCATGCGGAAGTGGGCGCGCCGGGAGGCCGAGCAGATGGTGAAGGAACGCGAGCGGCTGGGGCTGCCCATCCTGGACTCCAATTACTTCGACCCCAGCAAGCTGGTGCTGCCGGACGAGGAGTGAGGGGGGCTGAGCCGGCGCCCCCTGGCCCCCCAGGGCTGTTTGAATAAACCTGCTGAGCCACCGCGCCCTGCCTCCGTCCATCTGTCTATGGGGCAGGGAGGGAGGGGGCTTGTGGGGTGACAGGGGAGCCAGGACTCCTGGGTTCCATCCCCAGAGCCCACTGACTGTGGCTGGCCCTGGTGGGGGGGGGCTCTGACCTTCGCGGGCTCAGACCCAGACGGCCCAAGTTCTGGCTCTAGCCGTGTGCCCTCTTCCACGGGCGCAGCTGTGGGGCTGTTCCCCAGCTGCCCTGCCCCAGAAGTGGCTGCATCTTGGTGCTGGGTGAGCTGTCCCTGTGAGCACCGTGCAGGGGCAGGCAGGAGGTGGCCGTGGCTGGGGTGAACGGCTCTTTGGAACTGGGCGGGAGGCCAACCTAGGATCTCCAGGAACGACCCAGCTGGTGGTCTGGGCCCCCCTACCCCTCCCTGCCCCATAGCCAGCCATGCACCTCTTCTACAGCTGGCTCTGTGTCCCCCACCATCCCCTCTGTCTGCTGACACCCCTTCTGCCCCCCCCAGCTACCTGTCTCTACAGGCGCCCCTCCCTGCCAGCTGCCTGTGTGACCCACTCCCTGCTCCTCCCCCTGGTTTGGCCAGCTGACATTCTCCCAAGGGGGGAAACTGAGTCATGAAGAGCAGGTGAGAGTCAACTACACAAGAGTCCTGCCTCCCAGCCCGCCCCACCCCTGAGCTGGGGAGAGAACCCAGGAGTCCGGACTTCCCCCCTCAGGAGAGGTTCTGCCATTTCTCTGAGCCGCGGCTTCGTGCGTCACCGCTGGCTCTGCCCTCGTTCGGTGCTAACTGCCGCAGCTGTTCCCAGCCCGGGGCGAGCAGTCCCCCAGCGCGGTTATAGCGGGCTGTTCCCCAGTGGCCCTGCCCCAGAGGTGGCTGCATCTCCACCCGGGCACGCCACCCCCTGCAGCCTTACCTGGGGCTGTTCCCAGCTGCTCCACCCTGGAGGTGGGTGTGGCCCAGAACCACCTCCAGTCTGCCCAGGTGTGGGCCTGGCCCTGGCCAAGGGGGGTAGCTGTGGGGGTGGGGGGTGAGAGTCATCCTGGGCTGGGCCATGTGGGAATCGGTGCCTGGAGGGGGGGTGGGTAGAGCTTGTCCCTGTTAACCCCATGTGGGGTGCTGGGGGACAGGCCCCCCCTTGGGGATTCTGGGCCCCCTGGGCCAGGCAAAGTGGAGTTACCCTGATCCCGGTCAGCACAGCTGGGAGGGGGTGGGGGGAGCCCGGGGCTGCGGGTCAGGGGTGGGGGGCACCAGAAGAGCTGGCGGGGGGGGGTGTTGCAGACTCTCAAGTCCGGAGCGAGACGTTTCCTTCTCCGTGTCTGCGGCAGACACTGAAATATTCATGGGGAACCGAATCCCCCGCGGGGCGATGGCTCCATCAGGCCAGCCCCCCCCCCCATAACCCACCCCTGGGCCCCCCCCAGCTCTGCCAGTGCCCCTCGCTCCTGACCCCCCAGCTCCCCATAACCCACCCCTAGGGCCCCCCCAGCTCCGCCAGTGCCCCTCGCTCCTGACCCGCAGCCCCCCCATAACCCACCCCTGGGGTGCCCCCCAGCTCCGCTAGTGCCCCTCGCTCCTGACCCGCAGCTCCCCGCTAGCCCAGTCCCCCCCCCCCCCGTCCTGCCGATGCCCCTCACTCCCGACTCGCAGCCCCCAGCCCTGGGCTCCCAGGCCCCCACGCTGTAACCACTAGCGTCCCGTCCCCACCCATATCAGGGGAGAGAACCCAGGAGTCCTGGCTCCCCCCCGCCCTCCTCTTGCCGACCTATTTCTCTCGCTCTCTCCCGTGCGCTCCGCCCCGCGCGGCTCCGGGCTGGGCTGGGCTCAGAGTCCCCGGCGGATCCGGGCAGGCAGGAGCCGGGAGCCTGGAGCCGGGCTCCGGACATGGCCCCCTGCCCCTGCGAGCGGCGGTGACTGGACCTAGCCCCAGGTGAAGCGTGGGGAGGGGAGCCAGGACTCCTGGGTTCTCTCCCCGGTTTGGGGAGGGGGACTGGCTGGGAGCCAGGACTCCTGGGTTCTCTCCCCGGGTCGGGGAGGAGAGTGGGGTCTAGTGGTTAGAGCAGGGGGCTGGGAGCCGGGACTCCTGGGTTCTCTCCCCGGCTCGGCGAGGAGAGTGGGGTCTAGTGGTTAGAGCAGGGGGCTGGGAGCCGGGACTCCTGGGTTCTCTCCCCGGCTCGGGGAGGAGAGTGGGGTCTAGTGGTTAGAGCAGGGGGCTGGGAGCCGGGACTCCTGGGTTCTCTCCCTGGCTCGGGAGGGGAGCAGGGTCTAGTGGTTACATGGGGGGGAAGGTTGCTGTTGTCTCTGTGGGGTGGCAGCTCTAGGCACATTCTGCTTGGAAGGGAACCAGCCGGTGAAGTTTGGCAAAGTTAGAAGGGGCTGAAGGTTGGCCCCCTGCAAAGGGGATCTGGGCTGGCCCCAGGGCAGCGCTAGGGGGCGCTGTGCTGTGGGGCTGGGCTGGGCAGGGGGCTTCCTCTCTCCCCTGGCACTCAGGGCCGGGCATTGCGGGGGCTCCATGCTGCGGGGAGCAGGATGGGGGGGCTGGGCAGGGGGCTTTCTCCCTTAGCAGTAAGGGCTGGGCACTTGGGGGGCACCGTGCTGGGGGGCGGGGGGTTGGGCAGGGGGCGCTCTCCCCAGGCCTGTCAGGGCCGGGTGCTGGTGGGGGACTTACGTGGGGGGGGGGACTCCCCGATTTTACTCACTGACGCCAGCGGCTCTTGCTTGCCAACAGGTGATCTGGGCATTTTCAGTTCTCAGCCTCTGCCCCGACCCTTTTGCCCTGCTCTGTGTGAGTGTGTGAGTGTGTGTGAGTGTGTGTAGGCGCCTTCTGCTGGAGGGGCCAGGCCCTGCGCTGTGTTGGGCTGCCCAGGTGTCGTGTGTCGTTATCTCCGTTTGCGTGTTTGCGACGATGTGCTGTGTGTGGCTCGGTGCACAACGGGGCCCAGGTGCGTTGTGTGTCTCTTCCATGTGCGGTGTTGTGTCGGAGTGTTGAGTGCGGTTGTGGTGTTCTGTTCTGCGGTGTGGGGGGGTTTCCGTGTTGCGTGTGAGTCTGTGCGTGGCTGGGTCTGCTGTGTCTATTGCAGTGCACGTGTGCGACTGCCTTGCCTGTTGCAATGTGCGCTCCTGGCTGTGGTGTGTGTCGCAGGGCGTGTGCGGGTGTGGGGTGTGTGTGATTGTGCTCTGTGTGTCGCAGGGGGTGTGCGGGTGTGCGGTGTGTGTGATTGTGCTCTGTGTGTCGCAGGGCGTGTGCGGGTGTGGGGTGTGTGTGATTGTGCTCTGGGTGTCGCAGGGCGTGTGCGGGTGTGCGGTGTGTGTGATTGTGCTCTGTGTGTCGCAGGGCGTGTGCGGGTGTGGGGTGTGTGTGATTGTGCTCTGTGTGTCGAGGGCGTGTGGGTTGTGGGGTGTGGTGTTGTGCTCTGCGTGTCGAGGGTGTGGGTTGTGGGGGTGGTGATTGTGCTCTGTGTGTCGAGGGGGGTGCGGTTGTGGGGGGGTGTGATTGTGCTCTGTGTGTCGAGGGGGTGTGGGTTGTGGGGTGTGTGTGATTGTGCTCTGTGTGTCGCAGGGTGGGGGTGTGGGGTGTGTGATTGTGCTCTGTGTGTCGAGGGCGGTGCGGTTGTGGGGTGTGTGTGATTGTGCTCTGTGTCGCAGGGCGTGTGCGGTTGTGGGGTGTGTGTGATTGTGCTCTGTGTGTCGCAGGGGTGTGCGGGTGTGCGGTGTGTGTGATTGTGCTCTGTGTGTCGCAGGGCGTGTGCGGGTGTGGGGTGTGTGTGATTGTGCTCTGGGTGTCGCAGGGCGTGTGCGGGTGTGGGGTGTGAGTGATTGTGCTCTGTGTGTCGCAGGGGGTGTGCGGTTGTGGGGTGTGCGTGATTGTGCTCTGTGTGTCGCAGGGGGTGTGCGGGTGTGGGGTGTGCGTGATTGTGCTCTGTGTGTCGAGGGGGTGTGCGGGTGTGCGGTGTGCGTGATTGTGCTCTGTGTGTCGCAGGGGGTGTGGGTTGTGGGGTGTGTGTGATTGTGCTCTGGGTGTCGAGGGGGTGTGCGGTTGTGGGGGTGTGTGATTGTGCTCTGTGTGTCGAGGGCGTGTGCGGTTGTGGGGGGTGTGTGATTGTGCTCTGTGTGTCGAGGGGTGTGCGGTTGTGGGGTGTGTGTGATTGTGCTCTGGGTGTCGCAGGGCGTGTGCGGGTGTGGGGTGTGTGTGATTGTGCTCTGTGTGTCGCAGGGCGTGTGCGGTTGTGGGGTGTGTGTGATTGTGCTCTGTGTGTCGCAGGGCGTGTGCGGTTGTGGGGTGTGTGTGATTGTGCTCTGTGTGTCGCAGGGGGTGTGCGGGTGTGCGGTGTGTGTGATTGTGCTCTGTGTGTCGCAGGGCGTGTGCGGGTGTGGGGTGTGTGTGATTGTGCTCTGGGTGTGCAGGGCGTGTGCGGGTGTGGGGTGTGAGTGATTGTGCTCTGTGTGTCGCAGGGGGTGTGCGGTTGTGGGGTGTGCGTGATTGTGCTCTGTGTGTCGCAGGGCGTGTACGGGTGTGGGGTGTGAGTGATTGTGCTCTGTGTGTGAGGGCGTGTGCGGTTGTGGGGTGTGCGTGATTGTGCTCTGTGTGTCGCAGGGCGTGTACGGGTGTGGGGTGTGAGTGATTGTGCTCTGTGTGTCGCAGGGCGTGTGCGGGTGTGCGGTGTGCGTGATTGTGCTCTGTGTGTCGCAGGGCGTGTGCGGGTGTGCGGTGTGCGTGATTGTGCTCTGTGTGTCGCAGGGGGTGTGCGGTTGTGGGGTGTGTGTGATTCTGGTCTGGGTGTCGCAGGGCGTGTGCGGGTGTGGGGTGTGAGTGATTGTGCTCTGTGTGTCGCAGGGGGTGTGCGGTTGTGGGGTGTGCGTGATTGTGCTCTGTGTGTCGCAGGGGGTGTGCGGGTGTGGGGTGTGCGTGATTGTGCTCTGTGTGTCGCAGGGGGTGTGCGGGTGTGCGGTGTGCGTGATTGTGCTCTGTGTGTCGCAGGGGGTGTGCGGTTGTGGGGTGTGTGTGATTGTGCTCTGGGTGTCGCAGGGGGTGTGCGGTTGTGGGGTGTGTGTGATTGTGCTCTGTGTGTCGCAGGGCGTGTGCGGTTGTGGGGGGTGTGTGATTGTGCTCTGTGTGTCGCAGGGGGGGGGGGTGGGGGGGGGGGTGGGGTGTCGCGGGGTGTGCGGGTGTGGGTGTGTGATTGTGCTCTGTGTGTCGCAGGGGTGTGCGGTTGTGGGGTGTGTGTGATTGTGTGTGTGAGGGCGTGTGCGGTTGTGGGGTGTGTGTGATTGTGCTCTGTGTGTCGCAGGGGGTGTGCGGGTGTGGGGTGTGTGTGATTGTGCTCTGTGTGTCGCAGGGCGTGTGCGGGTGTGGGGTGTGTGTGATTGTGCTCTGGGTGTCGCAGGGCGTGTGCGGGTGTGGGGTGTGAGTGATTGTGCTCTGTGTGTCGCAGGGCGTGTGCGGGTGTGGGGTGTGAGTGATTGTGCTCTGTGTGTCGCAGGGGGTGTGCGGGTGTGGGGTGTGTGTGATTGTGCTCTGCGTGTCGCAGGGCGTGTGCGGGTGTGGGGTGTGTGTGATTGTGCTCTGCGTGTCGCAGGGGGTGTGCGGGTGTGGGGTGTGTGTGATTGTGCTCTGTGTGTCGCAGGGGGTGTGCGGGTGTGCGGTGTGTGTGATTGTGCTCTGCGTGTCGCAGGGCGTGTGCGGGTGTGCGGTGTGTGTGATTGTGCTCTGCGTGTCGCAGGGCGTGTGCGGGTGTGGGGTGTGTGTGATTGTGCTCTGCGTGTCGCAGGGCGTGTGCGGGTGTGCGGTGTGGGTCTCACAGTCTGTGTGTAGGTGTGCAGTGCAGTGCAGTGCAGGGGTCGGTAACTGTCTGGGTTGTGGGTTGTGATTGTTGGTGCCCCTCCCCCCGCCAGGTTACACCAGGTTCGGGTTCCTGTTGCCTTCAAGCTGCTGTCGCTAGGTTGCCATGGCGACAGCTGGGGTTCTCGGGGTTACCGTGGTGATAGGAGGGTTCTGGGACCATCCAGCCGGTTGTCACCGCTCAGCGCCCGGGGTGGGGGGGGGAGTGACAGGCAGGGGGGTTCAGCCCTGCCCCCCAGCCCTGCCGGTGCCCCTCACTCCCGACCCGCAGCCCCCTGCCAGCCCAGCCCTGGGCCCCCCCAGCCCTGCCACTGCCCCCGACTCCCGACCCGCAGCCCCCTGCCAGCCCAGCCCTGGGCCCCCCCAGCCCTGCCGGTGCCCCTCACTCCCGACCCGCAGCCCCCTGCCAGCCCAGCCCTGGGCCCCCCCAGCCCTGCCGGTGCCCCTCACTCCCGACCCGCAGCCCCCTGCCAGCCCAGCCCTGCCCCCCAGCCCTGCCACTGCCCCCGACTCCCGACCCGCAGCCCCCTGCCAACCCAGCCCTGGGCCCCCCCAGCCCTGCCACTGCCCCCCGACTCCCGACCCGCAGCCCCCTGCCAACCCAGCCCTGGGCCCCACCCCAGCCCTGCCGGTGCCCCTCACTCCCGACCCGCAGCCCCCTGCCAGCCCAGCCCTGGGCCCCCCCCAGCCCTGCCGCTGCCCCCCGACTCCCGACCCGCAGCCCCCTGCCAGCCCAGCCCTGGGCCCCCCCAGCCCTGCCACTGCCCCCCGACTCCCGACCCGCAGCCCCCTGCCAACCCAGCCCTGGGCCCCCCCCAGCCCTGCCGGTGCCCCTCACTCCCGACCCGCAGCCCCCTGCCAGCCCAGCCCTGGGCCCCCCCAGCCCTGCCACTGCCCCTGACTCCCGACCCACAGCCCCCTGCCAGCCCAGCCCTGCCCCCCAGCCCTGCCGGTGCTCCTCACTCCTGACCTGCAGCCCCCTGCCAGCCCAGCCCTGGATCCCACCGTCTGGGTCACTGGCTTTGCCAGCCGGGCCCGGCTTCGCTGGGATCAGAGGCCAGGAGGCAGTGGCTGCCCATCAGTTTGATACCCTGGGAGGGGAACTGGCTCTGGGAGGGGAGTGGGGTCTGGTGGTGAGGGGGCGGGGCTGGGAGCCAGGACTCCTGGGTTCTCTCCCCAGCTCTGAAGGGGGCTCCCAAGGCTCTGCTGGGAGGTGATGGCAGCCCGGTTGGAATTTCGAGGGGAGTCGAGGTCCCGAATCCCACAGGCCCCAGCCCTGCCCCCAGCCAGGTCCCATAAGGAGCCGTTTCTGGCAGGCGAGTTCCAGCCCCAGGATAAAGGGTCTGGCTGGCTCAGTGGGGAGCGCAGGGCTGCAGGACATAGGTGGGGGGCTCTGTGGGGGGTGCTGGGCTGCAGGACATAGGTGGGGGGCTCTGTGGGGGGTGCTGGGCTGCAGGGGGCAGGGTGGGAGGCTCATTGGGGGGTGTCATGCTGCAGGGGGCAGGGAGGAGGGCAGGGTGTGGGGGGGTGGCTATGTCTGATTCCCCTGCCTCCCCCCACAGGATGCCGTGGGGGTGTCTCCGGCTGCGGGAGGAGAAGAACTACAACTCCGTGGGCGACATCACGGACAAGTATGAGATCGGGGAGCTGCTGAGCGTGTGAGTATCTGGGGGGGGGGCTGCCCCCCACAGCCCGGCCCACAAAGACTCCCCCTCCCACAGCGACTCACTCCCTGGCTTGCTCATGTGCCTCAGTTTCCCTGTCTGCTGGGAAGGGGAGAGGGGTAATTTTACCGGACTCCAGGGGAGCCCCCCGAAAACGTCTGGCACTGGGACAAACGGGTCAGGCCAGGGCCCCCCGGTTCTCCCGGTGGGTGGGGAGCCCAGGGGGATGGGGCGGGAAACCCTTGGCTGAGCACAGGGATGGGCGTCAGGACGGAGCTAGGCCCTGGTGTCGCCCATCTGGGAGGGGGGCACGTGGGAGCTCCAGCCCCCCACCCCAGCCTCCCCCCCGGCTCCTCCATTGATGGGCCGATCCAGTTCCATCCCCGGAGCGCAGCAGAGTCCACCTGGGCCGGGCCGTGCTGCGCAGAACGCTGGTCAGTGGGGGGAAACTGAGGCATGTGCTATGCTGGGAAGGGTAATGCCAGTAATTCATGGTGGCAGGAGGGTGCTGGGGGGCTGTTGGGGGGTTCCAGAGGGGGTGGGATGCGGGGGTAGCTGAGGGGGGCGGGCTATGGGGGGCTGTGTGACGTCTCACCCGCCCATCCCCTCAGGAAGGAGTTCTGTGAGCTGTGCCTGGCTCGTGAGCGCCGGACTGACCGGCTTGTCGTGTGCAAGCGGTTCCGGAAGAAGGACGGCAGGAAGGTTCGCCAGGCGGCCCGCAACGAGATTCTCATCCTGAAGATGTAGGTGCCGGAGCCGGACCCCACCCTTGCAGCCAGGCCGGGAGTACTGGCAAAGGGGGGCAGGGGTTCTGGCCCCAGACTCGGGGAGCCCTGAAAGCCTTCGGCACCCCGGCTCCCGAGTCCCCTTTCTCCAGTCACCCACCCCTCCTGCACCTGATGGGTAGCACGGCAATATACAAGGGGAAACTGAGGCAGGCCTGGCCTTCAGAAAATCCCTGTGTGGTTGTACATTTCTGGACTTGCTGTGTCTCTCTGTCGGCACACCCGGCACTGTTCCCCTTTGCTCTGCAGCTCGGGGGGGCCCTTGCCCCGCCGCCCTGCCCAGGGACGAGGAGGAGGGGGTGTCCCAGCCTCTGGGGTTCCCGTTGCGAATGACTCTGGCCTCTGGCCAGTCCCTCCCCGTTCTGCTCAGGGCATGGCGGAGGGAAACTGAGGCAGGCTCGGGTGTCCTGGTGTCACAGAGTCCCTGGACGATGCTCTGGAACTGCTCCCCATGAAGCCAGTCAGGATTCTGGGGAGTCTCCTCTCTGTGAGCAGCCTGTCTGCAGGACACACAGCTCCCCCGGCTTCCACCTTCCTGGGTCTGACCTCGGAGCATTCAGCCTCCTCTGCCCCTCCGTGCGCTTCCCACAGCGAGTCCGCCCAGGCGGGGTCTTGGGAAAGCCAGAGGGTCCTGCCCCCCGACTCCGCAGTCAGACGGGACTCTCAGCCAGCCAGTAAAACAGAGGGTTTATTAGAGGACAGGAACATGGTCTAACACAGAGCTTGTAGGTGCAAAGAACAGGACCCCTCAGCTGGGTCCATTTTGGGGGGCAGTGACCCAGACAGCCATGTCTGCCCTTCACTCCATGTCCCCAGCCAGCCCCAAACTGAAACTCTCTCCAGCCCCCCCCCCCCCCCCGGGCTTTGTACCTTTCCCGGGCCAGGAGGGCACCTGATTCCTTTGTTCTCCAACCCTTTAGCTCTCACCTTGCAGGGGGAAGGGCCCAGGTCATCAGCTGCCAGGAGACAGAGTGTCGGCCCTTCTCTGTGTCCAGCCCCCTGCACACACATGCCCTCTAGGGCTCTGCAACTATCATACACCCTTATCCCACCACCGAGATACTTAAGAACTGCCTAGGGGAAACTGAGGCACCCCCACACTGTTCAGAGGAAATATTAAGAACAGTCCCGCTTCGTCACATCTCTCCCCCCTTCGAGATCGAACTGAGCGGGGTCACTTTAGCTGGTGACCTGGGGAAGTTCAAAGCCACCAACGTTCCCATGGATGCCCCAGCATCTCTTCCATTCTTTGGTGGGAGTTACACCAGGCCCTTCCAGTTTCATGCCCTCCCTTAAGTCGGGGGTGGTCGATAGCACTCGCAGGCCGCATGTGGGAAGGTTTATGCGGCCCGTGCCCTTTTGCCACCCCAAAGCCCCCAGGGGTCAAACTGGGATCAGGTCTTCTCCCAGCGCTCCAGTCTGGAGGGCTGCAATTCGGGCTCTCTTGGTTAAGAGCCCCCATCTTGACCTGGACCACATACTGTTCACTTACAGAACTAGCATGGAGACATCCCTTTCTCCACAACCTTGTCTCCCCAACAAGCTGGCCCAACACAGCCACTGGGTTATAGGACTGTTTAACTTTCTTAACAGCTTTCGCCCCATCTGAGACCTTCTCAAAGCTCTCCACACTGGATCTTTCAACAGGAAAGTCAGAGGATCCATTCACAACAGAAAATTTCTGGCAGTTAGGAACTGAAACTGTCTTGATGAAATCACTTTCACACCCTTCAGCTGCAGTAAACTGCTTGCAAAGACTCCCTGAGGATTCCTTTCCCTAGGGCTTTTCTATGCAACAATTCACCCCTCCCAGAAATTCTGCTCTTGCCCTCTTCACCGCGGGCTTGCTCTAGAGGAACACTTTCCTGAGCAACAACAGACTCTTTCTGGGACTCCCTTACATCCAGAATTACCCCTGGCCCATCTGGCAGATTCCTACACAATCCCCTTTCAGGCAAACTGACAGACTTCCTAGATAAAAGGCTAGAAGCCTTCTCCTCCCTTCGCCACACACAAGTTCAGGTTTCAGCTCACGAAAGCTCATGCTCAAATAAATTGGTTCGTCTCTAAGGTGCCACAAGTCCTCCTTTTCTTTTTGCGAACACAAGTTCAGGAATCTTTTCCTTCTTGGTCCCCTAGGCCTCTCCGCTCCCCCACCGCCAGTTCATGCTGCTGCTGCTTCTGCAGCTCTTTCTCGGGCTCTCGCTGTCTCTCACAGTCCTCTGGCTCTCTCGGACTCAGCTCCAATCCCGTCCGTCTCCGATCCCCCGATGGGGAACCCGATCGTGAAGACCCTCGTCTGGTCGGGGACAGGAGTCTTGGGGATGTCTGGCTACTACTCCGGCTGCTCCCAGATCCTGCTCTAGCCCCATTTGGGGTCAGGAATCTGTTCCTTAGAGCAGTCATCCTCCTCCAGCTGCACGATTAACTGTGCCTTGGTGAACTTTCCAATGCTCAACCCTCTCTTTCTGCACAGGGTTACAATGTCCTTCTTAAGGAGACGGTGACAGGCCGTCACTCTGCTCTTCCCAAGTTCCTGTGGACTCACAGGCCTGTGTGCTCTCAGCTCCCCACGGTTTCCAGGGAGAACCCCTCGTGTGCCAGCCCTTCTCGAGGTCACCACCTCTTTGCCAGGGTCAAGCCGCAGACTCCTCCGCCCCTGGGACCACTCGCTGCAATCCCCAGGGGAACCCTGTTACTGCAAAAGTCCTTCTCTCTCCCCGGGCCAAGCCGCAGGCTCCTCCACCCCTGAGACTGCTCACCACAGTCCCCAGGGGGACCCCATTACTGCATAGTCCTTCTCGCTGGTCACACACTCCCAGGGGTTAACCGCCCCCCGAAACCGCTCCTCTCTGAGCCTTCAGCACGCCTCGTCCTCGTCAGTCCCCCTTCGTTTTACTGCTCCCCAGTCGCTTACTGCAGGAAGCGCCACCCACGGGGTGCAGTACATCCCACCGCTGACACCAGTTGTCACGGGGTCCCCGGGCGATGCTCTGGAACTGCTCCCCATGAAGCCAGTCAGGACTCTGGTGAGGTCTCCTCTCTGTGAGCAGCCTGTCTTCAGGACACACAGCTCACCCGGCTCCACCTTCCTGGGTCTGACCTCGGAGCATTCAGCCTCCCCTGCCCCTCCGTGCGCTTCCCACAGCGAGTCCGCTCAGGCGGGGTCCTGGGAGGGGGCCAGGGGGTCCTGCCCCCCAACTCCGCAGTCAGACGTGACTCTCAGCCAGCCAGTAAAACAGGGGTTTATTAGAGGACAGGAACATGGTCTAACACAGAGCTTGTAGGTGCAGAGAACAGGACCCCTCAGCTGGGTCCATTTTGGGGGGCAGTGAGCCAGACAACCACGTCTGCCCTTCACTCCATGTCCCCAGCCAGCCCCAAACTGAAACTATCTCCAGCCCCCCCTCCTCTGGGCCTTGTCCCTTTCCCGGGCCAGGAAGGCACCAGATTCCTTTGTTCTCCAACCCTTTAGCTCTCACCTCGCAGGGGGGAAGGGCCCAGGCCATCGGTGGCCAGGAAACAGGGTGTCGGCCATTCTCTGTGTCCAGACCCCTGCACACACCTGCCCTCTAGGGCTCTGCAGTGATCATACACCCTTACCCCACCACCTAGATACTTAAGAACTGCCTGGGGGAAACTGAGGCACCCCCACACTATTCAGAGGAAACATTAAGAACAGTCCCACTTTGTCACACCTGGCGCTTGTCAGAATTGCCATGTGGGAATCGGGGTGTCTCTTTGGGCAAGAGCCCGCGTGTATCTGCTGTGCCAGGTGTGTGTGGGGGTATCCCTCTGCAGAGGGGGCGGGGAGGCCAGGGGGGCTCCCAGCAGCGGGGTAGGGCAAGTCGGGGGCAGGAAGGAAGCCGTGTCAATTGCTTGACCCCCCCCAATTTCTTCTCCCCCCCCAGGGTGAGTCACCCCAACATCCTCCAGCTGATTGACACCTTTGAGACACGCAGGGAATTTTACATCATCCAGGAGTTGTGAGTTCAGGGGCCGGGGGGGGTGAAATCGGGGCAGGGAACAGGGCGGGGGGGTCCCATGGCTGTGGGGGGATGCCAGGGTTTGGGGAGGATTGGCTGGGGGCTGATCCCACCCTGGGAGCAGAGGGAAATGGGGGGAACGAGGGGATATGGGTGGGGGGACCCCCAGGGCAGGAAGCAGGGGGGAGGGGGCTCCAGGCTCATGGGGAGCTCGGGGGTCCCCCAGGGCTGAGCCAGCCCGGTGCCGCCCCCTGCAGGGCGACGGGCGGGGACGTGTTCGACTGGATTCTGGACCTGGGCTGCTACACGGAGCGAGACGCCAGCAGCCTGATCCGGCAGGTGCTGGAGGCCCTGGCCTATCTGCATAGCCTCTGCATTGTACACCGCAACCTCAAGGTCAGGGAGCCAGGCGTCTGGGCTGCCCCCACCCCCGCTCTACCCACCGCGCCCCACTGCCCTCCCAGAGCCAGAGAGAACCCAGGCGTCCTGGCTCCCAGCCCCCCCTTGCTCTAGCCACTAGACCCCACTCCCCTCCCAGAGCTGGGGAGAGAACCCAGGCGTCCTGGCTCCCAGCCCCCCCTCGCTCTAGCCACTAGACCCCACTCCCCTCCCAGAGCTGGGGAGAGAACCCAGGCGTCCTGGCTCCCAGCCCCCCCTCGCTCTAGCCACTAGACCCCACTCCCCTCCCAGAGCTGGGGAGAGAACCCAGGGTCCTGGCTCCCAGCCCCCCTCGCTCTAGCCACTAGACCCCACTCCCCTCCCAGAGCTGGGGAGAGAACCCAGGTGTCCTGGCTCCCAGCCCCCCCTCGCTCTAGCCACTAGACCCCACTCCCCTCCCAGAGCTGGGGAGAGAACCCAGGCGTCCTGGCTCCCAGCTCCCCCTCGCTCTAACCACTAAACCCCACTCCCCTCCCTGGGGAGAGAACCCAGGCGTCCTGGCTCCCAGCTCCCCCTCGCTCTAACCACTAAACCCCACTCCCCTCCCTGGGGAGAGAACCCAGGAGTCCTGGCTGCCAGGCCCCCAGGTTTCATGCATAGCGAGGCTCGCTGGCTGGTTTCTTTAGCTCACATCCCCCCCAGTGGCCACTTCTGTGCCGTGAGGGTGAGGTGGGGGTCTAAGGGGTAGGGGCGGGCTGGGAGTGGGGAAAGGGGTGGAGTGATGTGGGGCAGGCTGGTGGGAAGGGAGGGGACGGTGTGTGGGGCTTGTAGGGGAGGGGATGGTGTGGGGCCGGCGGGGGAAGGGGGCGCTGTGGGGCTGGTGCTGTGAGGCTGGCAGGAGGGTCTAACGCCCGGTGTGCCCCCCAGCTGGAGAACCTGGTCTATCACACCCAGCAAAGCCACGCCAAGGTCGTGCTCCGGGATTTCTACCTGTCGCGCTTCGAGAATGGAGCCATCACCGAGCCCTGCGGGACGCCCGAGTACCTGGGTATGCCCCCCCATCACCCCGAGTACCTGGGTATACCCCCCCGAGTACCTGGGTATGCCCCTCCCATCGCCCCAGGTACCTGGTTATGCACCCCAAGTACCTGGGTATGGCCCCCCATCCTTCCGAGTACCCGGGGACGCCCCCCTGAGTACCTTGATACAGCCCCCCATTCCTCCCAAGTACCTGGGTATGCCCCCCCTGAGTATCTGGGTATGGCCCCCCATCCCCTTGAATACCGGGGTACCCCCCCGAGTGCCTGGGTACACCCCTCCTATGGCCCCGATTACCTGGGTACGGCCACCCATCCCCTTGAATACCTGGGTACCCCCCAAGTACCTGGGTACAGCCCCCCATTCCCCCCAAGTACCTGGGTATGCCCCCAAGCGGGAAACCCAGTACCTGGGTATGGCCCCCCATCCCTCCGAGTATGCCTCCCTGAGTACTTGGGTATGGCCCCCCATTCCCCCCAAGTATCTGGGTATGGCCTCCAATCCCCTCGAGTACCTGGGTACACCCCCCTGTGAGTACCTGGCTATGGCCCCCCCATCGCATCCCAGGACCTGGGTATGGCCCCCATCTCCCCACCCTGAGTATCTGGGTACAGCCTCCTCTGTCTCCCCCTTGAGTATCTGGGTATGGCCCCCATTCCCCCACACCCCTCAGTACCTACTCTGGGGTACAGATGTGGGGACCTGCCTGAAAACCCCCTAAGCTTATTCTTACCAGCTTAGGTTAAAACTTCCCCAAGGTACAAACTATTTTACCTTTTGCCCTTGGACTTTATTGCTGCCACCACCAAGCGTCTAACAAATATATAACCGGGAAAGATCCCGCTTGGAAACGTCTTTCCCCCCCTGAATCCTCCCAAGCCCTACACCCCCTTTCCTGGGGAAGGCTTGATAAAAATCCTCACCCATTTGCCGAGGTGAACCCAGACCCAAACCCTGGGATCTTAAGAACAATGAAGAAGCAACCAGATTCTGAAAAGAAGAATTTTAATAGAAGAAAAAGTAAAAGAATCCCCTCTGTAACATCCGGATGGTCAATACCTTACAGGGTAATCGGATTCAAAACCTAGAGACTCCCTCTATGCCAAACCTTCAGCGATAAAAAGACACAAAAACAGGAATCTCCGCTCCCTCCAGCACAGCCTATTTCACCGGCTGTTTAAAGGAATCGGAATCTAACGAGATCCCTAACGAGATCCACCTCTCAGACTCCATTCCTGACCTGTCCCCGGCAAAAGCCTCACCCAGACAGACCCGGAGCCTTTGTTTCTCCCCCCAGCTTTGAAAGTATCTTGTCCCTTCATTGGTCATTTGGGCCAGGTGCCAGCCAGGTTACCTGAGCTTCTTAACCCTTTACAGGTGAAAGGGTTTTGCCCTGGGCCAGGAGAGATTTTAAAGCTGTTTTCCATTCCCTTTATATTTATGACACCTGCGTACCATTGCCCTCATGCCTGAGTACCTGGGCACGGACCCCCTGCCCCCCGAGTACCTGGATACGCCCCCCCAACTACCTGGGTATGGCCTCCCATCCCCCCGGGTACCTGGGTACCCCCCCAAGTACCTGCTTACAGCCCCCCATCCCCCTGAGTACCTGGGTATGCCCCCCCTGAGTACCTGTGTACTCCCCTCCCATCACCCCGAGTACCTGGGTATGGGCCCCCTGTCCCCCCACAGTACCTGGGTACCCCCCACAGTACCTGGGTATGGCCCCCCATTCCCCTGAGGACCTGGGTACGTCCCCCCCGAATACCTGGGTACGGCCCCTCCATCCCCCCGAGTACCTGGGTATGAGACCCTCCCCTGAGTACCTGGGTACGACACCCCCTCCTCCCCCTGAGTACCTGGGTGTGGGACCCTCCCCTGAGTACCACCGCCCCACCCCCACCTTTGACCTCGTCTCCCGCCGTTATGTCTGGGGGTCTCACCCCGTCTCTCTCTGCCCCCAGCCCCCGAGGTCATCGCTCGCCAGCGCTACGGCTGCCCCGTGGACTGCTGGGCCGTGGGGGTCATCCTCTTCATCCTGTGAGTGGGGCTGGGGCCCCGGGGGGTCGGGAGGTGTCGGGGCTGGGGGGGTCGGGGCTAGGGGTCAGGAGGGTGGCATTAGGGTGTCCCTGGGGGGTGCCTGGGACCCCACGACCCCCCCTGACTGCCCCTCCCCCACAGGCTGTCAGGGAACCCCCCATTCTACGCTGAGGAGGAGCAGGAGTCCGGCCGGGGGCAGGACCGGCAGCTCTTCCGTCAGATCCTGGCTGGGGAGTACAGCTTCGACCCCCCGTACTGGGACGAGATCTCCCCCGCCGGTGAGTCCCCAGCCCCCCACAGCCCCCCACTGCCCCGACCCCCCTACTGGGACGAGATCTCCCCCACCGGTGAGTCCCCAGCCCCCCACAGCCCCCCAGTGCCCCGACCCCCCTACTGGGACGAGATCTCCCCCGCCGGTGAGTCCCCAGCCCCCACAGCCCCCACTGCCCCGACCCCCTACTGGGACAGACTCCCCCACCGTGATCCCCAGCCCCCCACAGCCCCCAGTGCCCCGACCCCCTACTGGGACGAGATCTCCCCGCCGGTGAGTCCCCAGCCCCCCACAGCCCCCACACTGCCCCGACCCCCCTACTGGGATGAGTTCTCCCCGCTGGTGATCCCCACCCCCACAGCCCCCACTCCCCCACCCCGACCCCCTACTGGGACGAGATCTCCCCCACCGGTGAGTCCCCAGCCCCCCACAGCCCCCCAGTGCCCCGACCCCCCTACTGGGACGAGATCTCCCCCGCCGGTGAGTCCCCAGCCCCCCACAGCCCCCACACTGCCCCGACCCCCCTACTGGGATGAGTTCTCCCCCGCTGGTGAGTCCCCAGCCCCCCACAGCCCCCACACTGCCCCCACTGCCCCGACCCGCCCTGCTGGGACAAGATCTCTCCCACTGATGAGACCCCCCCACCTCACTCTTCTTCCCCCATGTCCCTGCCACTCTGGGATGGGGGGGGCGTTTACCCTGCACTGACCCTCCCCTGCCCCCCATTGCAGCCAAGAACCTGGTGTCGCAGCTGCTGGACGTGGATCAGGACAAGAGGATCACGGCGCAGGAGGCCCTGGGAGACGTCTGGTGAGGGGTGGGGGGCTGGGGGGGCAGGAGCAGGGCAGGTGAGCGGGGGAGGGTCACAGCGAGTGAGTGGGGGGAGGGGCAGGCGAGTGGCGAGGGGGGGTGGGCATGGGAGAGTATGGAGGTTGAAGGGGGGGTCACTCACTCTCAGCTGGGGGGCAGGGAGGTACGTGGGGCCATTTGGCCAGGGAGTGGGGGGGGGGCGGCTCTCTGCTGCAGGGCCTTAGCCTGACACCCCTGGTTTGGGGTCAGCTCCCCCAAACCTGCTCCTCACAGCCCAGGCTAATGGCTGCCTATGTTTCCCCCCCACACACTGGGTCTTTTTGTGCCTCCCAACCCCACGATCACCTGCATCCCCCCATCTACACCCCACATCCCCCCAATCTCCCCTCCCCCATCTCACCTGCATCTACCACCCCTGATCCCCACCCTGACCTGGCCCCCCCACTGCATCCTCCCCCCATCCTGGACGCCCCTCAACCCCGACCCCCCAGGATCGCGGGCAACGTGGCTTCGGAAAAGAACCTCAAGGAGGGGGTCTGTGCCCAGATCGAGAAGAACTTTGCCAAAGCCAAATGGCGGGTGAGTTTCCCCAGGGGCGTTGGAGGGCGCCATGGGGTGGAGGGCTGGGTAAGGGGCACTCTCCCCTGGCAGGCAGGGCCGGGTGCTGGGGGGCACCGTGGGGCAGGGTTGGGGCTGGGCAGGGGTCGTTCTCCCCTGGCAGTCAGGGCCGAGGCTGGGGGTGCCGTGCTGCGGGGTGGGGGGCTGGGCAGTGGTCGCTCTCCCCTGGCAGGCAGGGCTGGGTGCTGGGGGGTGCCGTGCTGTGGAGCGGGGTGGGGGCTGGGCAGGGAGCACTCTCCCTCGGCAGGGTGGGCCGGGTGCTGGGGGGTGCTGTGGGGCAGGGGGTGCTCTCCCCTGGCAGGCTGGGCCAGGCACTGGGGGGTGCCGTGGGGGGACAGTGGGCGGTATATTGTGGGACTATCTGACCCTCTCCCCTCTCCCCACAGAAGGCCATTCGAGTCACCACCTTCATGCAGAGGCTCCGTGCCCTGGAGCCTGGCGCCCGCCCCCCCGTGTCGCTCCCCGAGGTGACGGTGGAAGAGCCCTGCCCCCGCCCCACAGAACCCTCCACCACGGGGCGACCGAGCGAGCCAGCAGAGCCCACGGAAGAAAAGACGCAATAACCCCTTTGTACAGCTCCGTGCACCCGGATCCGACCCGGCGCCCCCGAGAGGGGAAAGGCCCTGGGTCCCACTCCCAACCTGGCTCTGTCCCCAACCGTGGCCCCAGCTCAGGACCGGCCCACGGCACTGGGATGTGCACGTCCACCCACCAGGGCAGCTGCATGTTTTGTGAAGATGCTATTTTAATACAGAAATCCCAGGCTGTCCCCCCGCGGAATTGACCTTGTCCCCCCCGCCCCTACAGGGAGCCTGGAAATAACAAAATAAACAGAGATTTTGTCTCTGGCAGCCTTTATGGTCAGTTCTTCCTCTGTCGTCCCTCCAAGGTAGGCGGGGAACAGCCTGGAGCAGTAGGACGGGAGAGAAGGATCTAACAGTTAGACCCCACTTCCTTCCTGGTGCCGAGAATAGAACCCAGGAGTCCTGGTTCCCAGCCCTGCTGCTCTAACCCACCAGACCCCACTCCCCTCCCAGAGCTGGGGAGAGAACCCAGGAGTCCAGGCTCCCAGGCCTCCCTGCTCTAACTACTAGTCCCCACTCCTCTCCCAGAGCTGGGAAGAGAACCCAGGAGTCCTGTCTCTCAGCCCCCCAGCCCCTGACTCTAACCCACTGGGTTCCCCTCCCAGAGCCAGGGGATAATCCAGGAGTCCTGGCTCCCAGCCCCCACCCCGACTCTAACCCACAGAGCTCCCTTCCCAGAGCTAGGGGGAGAACCCAGGAGTCCTGGCTCCCAGCCCCCGCTCCCCCCCCAACTCTAACCCAGCAGACCCCGCTCCCCTCCCAGAGCCAGGGATAAAAGCAAAGGAAATTCCATGCAAACACCGTTGGTTAAAAGACAACGATTGAGGCAGCCAAGCAAGGTCTGGGGGGTTCAGACACCCCAGGATTCATGGCAGCAGGAGCATGCCTGGTAAAGTTGCTCCCGGCGACCGCGGTCCCCTTCTCCTCCCCATCGACTCCGTAAGGCCACCGTGGCGTGTGGCACAGGATCCCCGCCAACTGTCGAGCACTTGTCTCAGCCACCAGGGGAATAGACGTGGCAGAGTGGGGAAACTGAGGCAGGGCCGTGTCCATCAGAGGCTGGGCTATAGCCACCTGAGTACGAGGCCGTCCTGCTTCCCTCACCTCATGCCCGCCAACTGGTGGGGCGTCCTACGGACCCAGCCCCGGGGCACGGCCCGCCTCGGGTGTGGCAGGAGGTGGGGAGTGGGCGCCAACGTCCCCCTGTGATGGGGTCATTGCTGCCGTCAAGGTGGCCCAAAGGGGCAGAGTTAAGGGGATGGGCAGTGGGGACCCATCCAGCCGCGCCCCCGCAGCACCCCCCTGTCTGTCTGTCCACCCCCCTCACCCCGGTGATCTCTCCCCCACGTTCCTGTCCCTATGTCTGTCCCCGTGTCTGTATGGCCCTCCCTGCGCCCCAGGACTACAGCCCCCAGTAGGCCCCGCGCGCCGGGCCGGACCATCCTGTCGGCAGGAGAGGGGGGGCCGCGGGCGCTCGGGGCCATGCGGATGCGGGCAGGGGGGCGGGTACCCCTCCCTCCCGGGATGGTTCGGCCCCGCGCCCCCGCGTGGCGCGTGGTTCAGCCCGAACCCGGAGGGTCCGTCAGCGGCGAGAGCGGCGCGAGGGGGAGAGAGAGAGAGAGGGGTGAGCGGGGGGCGGGGCGCGGGGAGCACAAGGGGGCGGGGCGCAGGGGGGGCCTGGGTAAGGGGGGAGCAGGGGGCCTGGGGCAGCGGGGCCTGGGTAAGGGGGCGGGGCTCTGGGGGGGCGCAGGGGGGCTGGGTAAGAAGGGGGAGCTGGGGGCCTGGGTAAGGGGGAGCAGGGGGACACAGAGGTGGGGGGAGCTGGGGGACACGGGTAAGGGGTAGCTGGGGGACACAGGGGTGGGGGGAGCAGGGGGGACACGGGTAAGGGGGGAGCTGGGGGCCTGGGTAAGGGGGAGCAGGGGGACACACGGGTGGGGGGGAGCAGGGGGACACGGTTAAGGGGGGAGCTGGGGGCCTGGGTAAGGGGGAGCAGGGGGACACAGGGGTGGGGGGAGCTGGGGGACACGGGTAAGGGGTAGCTGGGGGACACAGGGGTGGGGGGAGCAGGGGGACACGGGTAAGGGGGGAGCTGGGGGCCTGGGTAAGGGGGAGCAGGGGGACACAGGGGTGGGGGGAGCAGGGGGACACGGGTAAGGGGGGAGCTGGGGGCCTGGGTAAGGGGGAGCAGGGGGACACACGGGTGGGGGGAGCTGGGGGACACGGTTAAGGGGGGAGCTGGGGGGCCTGGGTAAGGGGGAGCAGGGGGGCACGGGTAAGGGGGGAGCAGGGGGGACACAGGGGTGGGGGAAGCTGGGGAGCACGGGTAAGGGGGGAGCTGGGGGCCCGGGTAAGGGGGAACGGGGGGCCTGGGTAAGGGGTGGGGGCACAGGTGGATAGCTAAGAGACCCTCAGAGGTGGCCAGGGAGGGCTGTGGGAGGGATGGGCAGGGGTGCCCTTATGAGGGGGCCCCCTGGAGGCAGGTAGAATGGGGTGGGGGCACCTTGGGGGGGAAATCGGTGGGGACCAGAGGGGGGGGTAGGAGGGAAGGGACCCTGGGGGGGGATGTTGGGGAATGTAAGGAGGTAGGTGGGGGTCAGGAGGCGGAGGAGGGGGGCTGGGGGGTGGTGACTGAGCTAGGACACTGGGGATTCACAGCCAGTGGGGCGAGGAGTATGGGGGGCACCAGGGTGTGGCTGGGAGGAGGGAGATGGGGGCAGCATTGGTGGGGGGCACAGCCCTTGGTGGTGGTGGGGAATGAGGCAAGGAGGGGGAATTCACCACGTGACCCTGACGTTTTGTTATTAGGGGTGTGAGTGGGGACCCCCCTTTGTGTGCTGCCCCCCCAACTGTCTGGTTTGCTCCTCTGTGCCCAGAGAATCCTCTGTACCCCCATTGCGCTGGGGGGCTGCTTTGGCTGCCCCCGAAATGTCTGATCCTTTGCTGAGAATCAGCGACGCTCAACATATATCTAGCCTCCACTCCCTGCCCCACGCTTCTCTGTAGTGTATTGGTTGGGGCCTGGGAGCCAGGACTCCTGGGTTCTCTGCCTGGCTCTGGGAGGGGCGTGGGGTCTAGTGGGTTAGAGCAGGGGAGCCTGGAATCCAGGGCTCCTGTGTATTGGCTCTCCCACATGCTGCATGTTTTTGTGCACATAACTTCCTTTCTCCGTGCCTCAGTTTCCCCATATCAGCGCCCAGGGGACACTTTCTCGCTGTTGGGGGAGTCCAGAGAGGCCTGGGGTTGAAAGCTGTGTCAGCCTTTCCCTGCCAGTCATTGATTAGATGGGGGGGGGGGGGGAGGGATAGCTCAGTGGTTTGAGCATTGGCCTGCTAAACCAAGGATTGTGAGTTCAGTCCTTGAGGGGGCCATTTAGGGATTTGGGGCAAAAATTGGGGATTGGCCCTGCTTTGAGCAGGGGGTTGAACTAGATGACTTCCTGAGGTCTCTTCTAATCCTGATATTCTATGATTGTCACTCGTTTGCACCTTCCCCAAACTGGCTTTTTGTTGGTCTGGTTTGCTGATTGGAGCAATTTTGCAAATGCTGATTTGCATGTGTGCATCTCATTTCTTTGTAAACCCCACCCACCAAATCCAGTTTCTGATAGCTCCTTCCACTCGCTTGAGCTCTGAAAGGGGACAGCTTAGAGAGTCGGGCTTGGGGGATCAATATGGGCCTTGGAGATGGTTCCCTTGGTGAAGATGGGGTTTGATCTAGCTGTGGTAGGAAGGGTTGAGCGTCCTGCCAAGCTGGTTATCACTGAGAGCCCTGCCCTGTGCGTGTAGTTGTGTTTTTCACTCCCAGATGCGATGCTCTCAACACCGGTGTGGGGGAACATACGAGGGATGGTCACAGGGTGTGATCCTGAGATGCTCTAGGGTGATCTAGACAATTAGCCAAAGGGCCTTTGACGAAAACAACAAATTGGTTTCTTGCAGCCAACAAGAAAAGAAAAACAAACCAGGGCTGGGAAATTCCATGTGCAAAAACTTAGTTGAGAGTCAAAAAAATCCACGTAGGGAAAGTCAGACTGAAACCTGGGTTAATGGGACCAAAACCACAGCGATGGCTGGGAAATCGCACCAGCAAAATTTAGATTAGGTTTGTGATTGTTTGGGGTATGGCCAAGCAGAGCCCTGTTAGGCCAGGCCCTGTGCAAGCCACTTGACTAAGATCAGGGCCCCGTTGTGCTGGGTGCTGCGCAGACCGTAACTGAGATCAGGGCCCCATTGTGCCGGGCAATGCGCAGACCCCAACTGAGATCAGGGCCCCCTGTTATGCTGGGCACTGCCCAGACCCCAACCGAGATCAGGGCCCCCTGTTATGCTGGCACTGCCCAGACCCCAACCGAGATCAGGGCCCCCTGTCATGTGGGACGCTGCTCAGTCCCCGAATATTCAGACTCCAGAGCTTTGCTGAGAGGGCGCTATGGGTCACGGGGTCAGAGCATACAGGACGTCTGCCAGGGTGTGCAGTCCTGCCCCGGCTCCTGAGGAGAACGAGGAGCCCTTCGATGCCATGGACAGGGGTTGGACTCAAAGGCAGCGGGAGATGTTAGCCAGTGGGACTCCTTGCCACTGATTGTCATTGACGCCAAGAATCCGGCCATTCCCCGTCAGCTCCTAGGACGACGCTGTGGCCAGGAGGGCTAATCCAGGGGGAATTCTCCAGCTTGTGCCATGTGTGTGAGATTGGACGGGGTAACAGACCCTTCTGGCTTTAGGGCCCTGGGTGTATGGATTGAGCTGGATTCACGCCAGGTGGGGCGTCTCCCCCCCATCTGCTAAGGTTCCAGGGTAGTTCTAATCCAGGTTGACGTGTTCTGGAAGTGATAGTGAGCCTCTTCCCTCAGGGATTAAACCCAATTTTAATTATTACTGGGGGACTGAGCTAACATGGGGGGCAGAAAGCCCCCCCCCCTTCCAGGGTAATTCCCTCTTCCTGTGTGGCTGGCGAGGGCTGGAGCCAGGATACCGGGCTAGATGTGCCCTTCTGATCCTGGGTGTGTACCTCTCTGGGCCCCATTACACTACCCCAGAGTTTGAGGGCAGAAGGGGTCTCTAGACCACCCAGGCTGGCCTCCCAGATAGGCCAGAGCAGGTCTAGGGGCTCTTCTCCACCCCCTCGGCAGTCGCCCCCCACCAGAACTGGGCACAGGGCTCCAGAATCGGTCCCGCCGGGAGGGAAAGGAGCAGGCCTCGCCCCCTCCAGTAGGGACCAGGGACACACACATGGCAGGGCTCAGAGTCCTGCTCTGGGTATGC